TTGAGGCAGTTAAACTAGCATTAACAAGAGCGACATTTTTGACAGTGACTTCATAAAAGAATGAAGACGTTTCATGACGTATATATTTCATATACCAACTCTTGACAAAATACGATATAAACATCAAATAAATGCATAAATTGCATTAGAATGGGAATAACTATCTGCTCATTTGTTATTTGCAACCATTAACGCAGGTTTAATGGAAGCAATCATTCTTTTTACCAGCTCTGCTTATGTGTTGTCAGTAAAACTCAGCTTGAGACTGTTAAATAAGAATTAATGGTTGCATGTAACAAATGATAAGATAGTTACTCCCTAAATTATCACCCTAAGTCTGTGAACTTAACAACACTGTACAAATTATACATAATTATCATGACTTCATGAAACTTTCTTATTCTAAAAGGGACTAATACTACACCTGCTTAATGGTTAAAAAAAAATACACTCAAATCATGGGACACATAAATTACTGCAGAAGTACACACGATGAAAAAATGTATTGCTTAATATATAAAAAAAATCTACATATAGAAATGTCCAAAGGATATACATGTTAAGAACAATTCATAAGCAAGAATTTATTTACAATAAAAATTAAACTTTGAGTAGAAACTGTCATTAAATTCCAACTGATTCAAAGGTCAAGGTCAAATTCTACAAATTTGCCTTAATCTGCATGTTAAACAAAATACATGTAGTTGTGTTGGTATGGTCATAGTAATTATTGTATCACAAATATCTTGCAGAAATTGTCCTGTTGCAGGAACACTTATATTTATTTAAGTACCAGTAAATCATTCAACATCACAACAAAATCATGAGGAAAATGAAACATCACAAAAATTTCAGGAGAAAAGCATTTCGAACAATCTCATTTAGATGACATAACATGCAGAAAACAATTACAGGATAGTAATGCAACAAGGAATGAAAGAACTGTTTTAGTATTTACAGTACGTACCAGTATATGAAAAGGAATTCAGCATATAGTATGTTGTCTTACAATGTTCACAAGGTTCATTATATAATATAACATATATACAATCATTATATCTAAATTCCTTGTTGTTAATGTCTGTAATAAATTAGTATTAAGAAGTAAATGAAGCCTAGTAGGATGCAACAAATTCTATCACAATAAACAATTAAGATACTAAACATTTAAGCACTTCTTTATAGAGAGTAACTGGAACTCAAGCTTCAACTGAAAAAGGCCTTTATCCCAGGCCTAGATATGATCTGACATCAATTTAGTATTGTAGACATACTTTCATGAAGAAAAAAAAGGTCATCAATATCTACTGTACTGTCTGTACATAGACAATAATAAAAATATAATGATATAGGGCAGCAAAAATTCAACCATTGGTGTATTCTTGTTGCTTTTAAATATGTAAAATATAAATACATGTATAATGAATTTTTTTTTTAGTTTTGTGTGAATTATTGATGTGTAAAGCACACAGACTTGCAAATAGGCATATTCTTCATGAAGCACGCTAGCACTTCATAACATATGCCTATATGTGACACGTTTGTGTGATTTACACATTACTATCTCACATGAAACTTATAAACACTCCTGAAGTAGATTTACCCTGCAAGATGCATCGCTTAAGATGACTTGATGATCTTAAACCTTGCTGCGTGCAAGCTATGATCAAGAAATTATTTGAGTATAAAAGTGACCTCAATAGTCCTGCCCAGCACCAGAACACTTGACCCAGCAGTCCAGAATTTCACAAATCTGGTAAAAATACCCTTGCTCATTACAATTTTGTATTCTGTATCCTTCCTTGATGCCCAGAAGCACAGAAGAGGGTTTTCACTATATAGTCAATAGAGTCCTGCCTTAACACTAGGACCCCGGACCCCGGGGCTATGAATTTCACAATTTGGAAGAGGCACCCTTGTTCACTATGTACTTAGGTAATCTGTTATATACCTAGGAGATTTAAAAGAGGCACCCTTGTTCATCATAACTATGTCCTTAGTTTATCTTCTAAATACCCAGGAAGAGAGAAGAAGTGCTTTCAAAACATTAATGCATTTTCACTTTATACTCCATACAGCCCCACCCTAACAACCGAATCATTGACCCAAGGGTCATGAAATTCACAATTTTGAAAGAGGCACCCTCTCATCATAACCATACAGTTATTTTGTTTGCTTTATACACAGCAGCAGAGAAGAAGATTTTCAAAGAATTAATGCATTTTCTCTATATAATCAATAGAGCCAAACCCTAATACTAGAATCCTTGAGCCAGGGACAAAGAATTTCCCAATTTTGGAAGAGGCACCCTTATTCATCATAACCATACACTTAGTTTATGTGCTAAATGTACATGAGTAGAGAAGAAGATTTTCAAAGAATTTTCACAAAATGACCAATAGAGCCCCTCCCTAATTCCAGAACCCCTGACCCTGGGGCCATTAATTTCACAATTTTGGTAAAGGATTCTTTGCTTGCTATAATCATGATAACATTTTGACTGTTTGATATTCAGGAGTAAACAATAGGATTTTTGAAAATTGCCTAATTTTTTCTGGTTTTGGCCCCATCCCCCAGAGGTGTCAAGGGGCAGGGACCATGAAATTCATAATTTTTGTCCCCCCTTTGCCCATAGATGCTCTATACCAAAATTTAAAAATGGAATTGTTCAGCGGTTTATGAGAAGAAGCTGAAAATGTTCAAAAGTTCACAACCAACAGCTACGTACAACACCAGACAAAAACAGCAATAGGTCACCTGAGTGACTGAGTTGACCTAACAAGAAGTCTGTGAGCCAATGCTCACTAGTAATATCTCCACTCTGATGTGATGATGTGAATATAAGCTCTCATAAATCTCACCATAAGGCATGCCTAAACAAAGAGAGTGCTAAAATTTCAAGCTTCTGACTTGAGTAGTTGCTGAGAAAACTGTGACGAAAATTTGGTACGGACAGAGGCATAGATAAACAGGAAGTTGACATTGGATTTGTAAAAAATGAATCCCACCATATGGCATGCCTAAGAATGTGCTAAAATTTCAAGCACCTGCAATGAGTAATTGCTGTGAAAACCGTGACAAAAATTTGGTATGGACAGACACAAGCAAAAACAGACATCAGATTTGTATAAAAAAACAAATCCCACCATATGGCATGCCTAGACAAAGAGTGTGCTAAACTTTCAAGCAACTGCCATAAGTAGTTGCTAAGAAAACTGACGAAATTTGTTATGGACAGACAACAGACACACTGCTACATAGACACATGGACACACAGACAGACAGACAGAAAGACACACAAGGGTTAAACAGTTTACCCCCTCTCCTTCAGAGCGAGGGTATAAAAATGTAGAAAATATACCTGCATAAAATTGCAAAAATCATTTAATTCAAAATCAGCTAGATGTGCCAAGAATGCCCCCACAGGCAGCCAAAATTGCAAATTGCAAATTGTAAATTGCACATTTGTAGCCGAGATAATGATTAGAAATTGTGAATTTTGAAATCTTTTCCAAGTTCAAGGGGGCTAACTGTCAAAAATAATCGGACCACGACCAAATTCAAACTAAACCTGTATTTTATGGTAAAATACCTGCATATGCAATTTCAACCTTATACATACTTCCCTACAAAAATAGAGAGCCGAAACTGAAAATTTCTTTTTTTTTTTCCTAAGTTCAAGAGCAATAACTCAAAAATCATCGGACATGACGACCTGTATTTTCTAGTAAAATACCTGCATATGCAATTTTAACCTTATATATACATCCTTAAAAAGGTTAGAGAGTGGAAACTGAGAATTTCTTATGTTTTCCTTAGTTCAAGAGGGATAACTCTGTAAAAAATCATCGGACCATGACCAAATTTGAACTTGACCTATGTATCCCTATGACGTATCCATATGTCAAATTTGAGTTGAATGTGTGTGACTGTTGCTGAGATAATGAACAGAAAGTCAATGATGGAATGACAGAATGATGGAACAGGGTAACACTATATGCCCCTGACCATTTTATGGTAGGGGCATAATAAATCATAAACAAACACTGACTTATTTACATATAATGTAAGCTTACCGAAAAGTATACAGTCATAAAAATTACACAATGATCTTCATGTAAAGTACAGTCTAGGTTTATCATTGGGAAAGTAAAAAAGAAATTTATAGAGGTGAAGCCTATGCGTATTTTGTATCATTAAAATTTAAATTTAAAATTAAATAAATTCCATCTCACACAAATGAAAATTCATCAAAATTTTTGTATTAAAATTGGAATTTACCAGTATGTTTTCATTGTACAAAGACATATTTACCCTTGATGGAATAAATCTTAAACAATTCTGACTGGAGTAAAATGAGTGAATTTAATTTGATCAAATAAAAACAAAGTAATCACAATGGGACAGTTCTTGATTACATGTATCCCGAATAAATATATCTAATATAACTTGATTCAAATAAGATGAAATAAGCAAAATCAGATGTATCTAAAAAATAGATTAATTAACAAATATCACAGTAAGACAAGGTTATACAGCAAACATGCCTATAATGAATTCTTGCTTACAGGGAAGTTATTTTCATTTCCTGTTCCTATAAATATACTACATACATATAACCTTATTGGATATAAGAATCACATTAATAACAAATCCAAATTGATCCTCCCTGGTATTTCATTATAAGCATGTTTCACTGTATATGTGTATCTAAGATAATCACCAATGAATTCACACAAGTTGACTTGTTGAGATCATATATATCTAAAATAAAACTAAATGACTTGAATAAATAAATTTCTTACCTAAAATAACTGTGATTTGGTGAAGATATTGTGAAATCACTATTTTCACGGGGTCAAATTTTTGTGGTTTGAGGGGATTTTATTCTGTGATTGAAGAAATTTTTAGTTGTTTTATATTAGACAATTAACATTCTATGGAGGACATGAATTTGTGTGTTCTCTTTGAGTCACAAAAACATCAAAACTTAACACCACTACCCCCCAGAATTAGTGATTTCACAGTAATTAGATTGCTAATAAACAAATAATCTTTAAATTGTTGCAAATAAACTTAGGAGTGGATATCATCATGGAAAACTGAGTTTTACCATCCTGCTGAACTCCCACCAGGCCGTCGAAAATCATTGTTTGCGTAAATCCAGTCCTCATCCTGAACAATACCGTTAACAATCGAACTCCCTATTGCATCTTGTGTTACATTATGATGTTTATCCTGTAAACCATCAATGTAGAACTGAAATAAAAGAAAATATTCACAATTTATAGATAGATATATTCCTCCGCTCAAATACCTAGCATTTACTACTGTTCACAGTTTTTTATTAAATTTTGCCTGATTATATTACTAAAGTGTCTACTTGCAAAAATTTCATTCTCATATATATATATTATCAGTGACCTATATACTAGTGAAATAGGCATCTCCTTCAGTGCCAGGTTTATTTGCCCAGATCATCACACACAACACTATTGGATTGAATTTTTACTAAATATTAAAACACATGATAAAATAATTTAAATAAAAAATAAACAGCCACCAAATTCAGCACATTTTCGGAAATACAATGTATGTCTGATCAAGGGCATTTACAATAACTAAGATAATGAGTACATGTATAAACATTAATAATAAACAAATCTTGAATAATTTTTTGATGTATAAATTTTTTCCTAAAATATTTGATAGAATTAGAGATATATTTGATTAAACAAAATCCCACAACTTAATTATAAGAGGAATTGTGAGAGTTATCCATCCCATTAGTATATATGTCCATGGTATTATTAAAGGATATATAAAAAAATAACCAAAAATTATCAAAATTTTTCTTTCTCATAAATATTAAGTAACTCTCTTGTAAAAATAAGGTGTCATGGAAATATGGTGATCTACAGTATACAAATGTTGGAAGTAAGGCCCAAGACTACACCTAGTTTTTCATCACTCATACATTCTCATAAAATCATAATATTTAGAGTACATGAAAATTTCATTAATCTACAAAGTGCTGATCAACAGACATATTATTTTCTCGCATAATGAACTAAAGATACAGTACAGATGAACCACAATAAAAAGAGATAGATCCAGTAATTTTTCTGAACAGGGTTCATGTCCAGGTAATCAAAACTCACTCATAAAAAATCCAAATAACGAACTGGAGGGGTCAAAAATAGAGAAAAATATTAATACGAATATTATATTTCACAGAAGTGAGTGGGACACATTCTATACCATGTTGCTGTTGAAAATACAGTATTCTTGATAATTCAAAGACAAGCAGCAGCTTTACTTCATGTAAGTGACTTGTCTGTTGGATTTTTTTTGCAGTGGCGGTGATGGTGAAGGGGGCAAGGTCATTGCCAGTCTAGTTTATCATGTTTATAAAACAAGTAATGACCATTTGCTGTAAATTTCATAAATGTATTTTTAAACTTCCCAACATGGATTTTCATCAATAACTATTTTAAACAAGTCAATGTTTGCATCTCATCTTGCTTTTGATTGAACAGTCTCTATTACTAAACTCTGGTAAGACAAACTACATGTATTAGACATTTTAGGATCATTTACTTGGGAAGTTATCACTTTTATCAGAGGGTCAGTCCTCCTCAAAAATCATTAAAAATCAATAGGAGGGAGGGGATTCTGGACCCCCTGATCCCAATGTCTGATCCAGTATTGTCAAACCTAAAAGCAGTTACTACCTTTGGAAAATCTGGTTCATGGTAAACTATTTGTGGGATAAGCTGGTGATGCAGTCTCCTGGCATCTATTGCTTCTTTTATATTGTCTCCAAACCACAAAACATGGGCAGCAACCTTAAAAGAAACCAAAATCAAAGTTTACTTATCAGCAATGCATACTTGTACATATTCTAATCTTAACTGCACTTCTCACTTCCACTTCGAGCTACAAGTATCTTGACTACATGAAATGAAACATGATAAAATTCCTCTTGTTAAACCTTTCTTTCTCTTGCCATCTAACATCTCTTAGTATGGAATGTATTTATGGCTAGTTTTTATTCTAAATTATTTTGAACCAATAGTCAGACTTTTGTCATTTCCCTTGACCTTTTAACTTTTGAACCTGGCATCGATAGGCTTCTTCCTCAACACACATCCCTATACCACTTACTGTGGAATCATTCGTAGGGGTCAATGTTCGTGGGCAAGCAAAATTTTACTTGTTCGTGGGGACATTAATTCATGGGTTACTTGTTTATACAGTAGATTCAATGAATCAATATTTAACAAAATAAATGTTCATGGGGATGTAAATTTGTGGGTAAGGGTGACCCATGAAATCCACCAAGTTGAACATTGTTCCCTCACAAGCAATGATGATTCCACAGTATATAACACTTAAAGTCACAAAGTACTTCTTTAATTGTGTCCATAACTTAGCTGAATACTTGTAACTGATATTGAACTTCAATCTGAAATCAATAGGTATCTCATTATGGCTTGCAAATTTCTAGTGTGGGGATAATAAATAGGATGATTTCTTTTTTTTAACCTTTGTTTTTTTTTTTTTTCAAGTATAAAAATCAAATTCATAGTTTGTAGAAAACTCTTGATTTATGTTTAACTCTTGTAGATTTCTTATCTTTTGTACTTTCAATATCACCCCATATATAAGCTGTAACAGTTGTTAAAACATTGCTGTGACCTAGTGTCTTTGTTCTTGCAGTCTAAAAATTTACCTGTAGCCGTCCAATAATAATAATTACAGTCCAATAATATATTATCGGATGGCAGTGATAACAAAATCAGACAGTATTTAAAAAACAACAAGTAGAGTGAAATCAAGGTTTAATATGTCCATAAACAAAAGAAAAAGGTTAGGGAAAAATAAATTGAGGGAAAGCAAACGCAAGGAAATTAAGTTGCTAAAAATAGCAAGTCCATGAAGAAGAAAATCGAAGTTTTAACCTTCCTCTAAAGTAACACTTTCCATTTCTTTTTTGCTGATTGTTTTTGAAATATAAAGGTAAATGTAAAGAAGCAAATTTAAATTCATTTCTGAAAGAATCTGCCAATCTCGTAATTTGATGAGAATTGTTTGCAGATGGTCACACTTTTTAAAATCTGAGATTTTCATTATATCATCCAACAAAAAAATTTTAAATAAAAACCCCATTTCTACTTTCCATGCATGGTGATAATATCATCCGACACTGTGTCTGTATCACATAAAAAAATCATTCATCACCTGACCATTCACTGTCCATAGTCCTGCAAAGCTAAACGACTGCCATTGAATGAATGAATGAAACAAAAGAGTTAACTCACTGTATTACTGTCTAAAGAAAAAAAACTTTCTCTTTTCTTTTGTCTACTAATTAAATGGTTTCAGGTAGAAAACTATTGATGCCTGAACTCCTATTGTGTAATTATTGGACTCCTCCATGTAACTTTTGGACATTTAAATGGCAATGTTTTAAGTAAGATATATGCCTCATACAATTCTATATGTAAAATTATCAGACTGTTTTCGGCCCTAACGGGCCTCAAACAGTCTGATAATTTTACATATAGAACAGTATGAGGCATATATTCATTACTTATCTTTTGTACTTTCAATATCACCCCATACATAAGCTGTAGCAGTAGTTATCCTGGAACCACCTGCAGCACCCACTACCATCTTCACTTTCTTTGTCTTGTCTGCCAGGACAGCTGGACACATGGATGACAATGGCCGCTTCCCAGGCTTGATGAAGTTGGAGGGAGAGGGACGGATACCAAAAGCATTGGTGATGTTTGGGGATGAAAAATCATCCATTTCATCATTAAACAGTATCCCTGTACGTTTCCCAGTAATCCCTGAACCAAATCTAAAATTCAGAAAATTAGAGAATGAAATTTTTGGTTTGTTTTTATGCCAAAAAAAGCAAGACCAGAAAAAGATGAGATTTATTGATTCTGAGAAAAATATGAAGTTGGATTGGAAGTACAGTACCTTGAGGAATCTTGTAAATATCACAATGGAAGCCCAAACATAAAAATCTCACAAAAACAGGAAGAAAAAATGTCTCAAGAACACCTTATGCTGAACATGCTGAACCAAAAATGAAGAAGAAAGGGAAAAAGATCTAGAAATAGCTAGAGACAACAGCAATCCAATGAAATAGATGTACAGAGGAAATTGACATTGAAACCCAATCCTTTCTTAGCATTGACAAAAATAATGATGAATGGACACAGACTGACAGTTGATACTAAAGTTACTGTGATACAATCTTCTCTAACCACTGACAAGTGAGTATTGATGAATTTACTAGAAATTGACAATTGACGTCACTAGCACCTGTTTACTTACAAAAGATTGACAGTTGTTGTCACCGACACAGCTATCCCATCTTCTCCCAATACTGACAAGTGAGCAGTACTAGTTTTCAGCTTGTGGTCAAATACTGGACCATAGTATGGGGTCCCATGTGTTGTGTTATCCCAAATCATTTTCCGGATTCTGTCAGCATACTCTGTAGATGTTAGGTTCTTCACAACCTAAAGAGAAATGGTTTAGGTTCCATATTTAATTGTTCCCAGCTTCTGCGAAAGTGAGGGGACATTAAATCTCATCTGTCTATTCATCTGTCAGTCTGTCATAAAAACATTAACTTTGGTCATAACTTTCGAATGAGAAAAGATAGGGCTTTTATATGTCACATGTGCATTACCTATGACATGACCTTTTCAAATATACTATAAATTTTGACCCATGACCTTGAAGTTTGACCTACTATTCTAAAATGTTAACCTTGTTCATAACTTTTGAATGAGAAAAAATAGGGTGTTCATATTTGATAAGTGCATTACTTGTGACACCTTTCAATATGTACTCTGATTTTTGGTCCAATACTTTCACCTTGAAGTTTCACCTTATTTTAAAAAAAAAATAACATTGGTGATGACTTTTGAATGAGGAAGATATATGTATGATGTTCATATCTGACATGTGGATACGGTACCTGTGACATTTCTGAGTGTGCTATGATTTTAGACCTGTGATCTTGACCTTGAAATTTGACATAATTTTCAAAATTTAACCATTGCTGACATCTTTTGAAGAAGAGGAGATATGGCATTTATATTTGACATGTGCATTAGCTGTGAAAAGACCTTTCAGAGTACATGTACACTATGAACTTGACCATGAAGTTTGACCTAATTTTCAAAATTTTAACATTGCTGCTAACTTTTGAATGAGAGAAGATGAGACGTTTTATATTGACATGTGCATTACTTGTTTCAATACCTTTCCAGATGTACTCTGGTTTTTGACCTCATGACCTTAACCTTAAAGTTTAAACCATAGTCTTTTTTATAATTTTTTTTAACATTTGAAATAACTTTTGAATGAGAGAAGATAAGGCTTTCATATTTTACATGTACATTACCTATGACAACATCTTTCAGAAAGAACTATCATTTTTGACTTCATGACCTTGACCTAAAAGTTCGACCTACTTATTAAAAAATTTAACATTGGGTCATAACTTTTGCTCCAGAAGATACAGTGCTTTCTTTTTTTTTTTTACGTGTACATTACTTGTGAAAAGATCTTTTGGATTGTATCATGATATATGAACTCATGGCCTTGAACTGGAAGTTTCATGCAGTTCTGAGAAGCTTTAATCTTGAGGGTAATCTTTATTAATTCAACTAGAAATATGTCCATAGGACATGAATGCCTCACTGATTGTATATTAGTAATGCAACATGAAAATTTGTATAAGTGTATGAAGTTTGATGAGAATATCTTGAAAAGTTTCTTTAAAATTGAAATTGAAATCTAACAAATTGGAAATAGATGATAAATACTCACCAAATTATGTATAAGTGCATAAGCTTACATAAAAAATATCTAATATGATTTCTTAAAAACTAAGCAAAACACAAATTAAAGAAAAGTGAGGTCAAGGTCACATGAAAGTGCAAGGTCAAAATGTTGATGCAGTTGAAAAGCTAACAATAGTATGTATCAGCACATGAAGTTTGATAACACTGTCCTGAATGGTTTATTTAAAAAATGATTTAACATTACTTTAAGAAAAAGTGAGGTCAAAGTTCAAAGGAAAAGTCAGGGTCAAAAAATGTTGATGCAGTTGATAGCTCTCATAAGTATGTATCAGCATATAAAGTTTGCTAAAACAAGAGATGTTTGTGAAACACTTATGCCCTTGGAATTTATCTAAGTCCAAGGGGCATAACTCTGTCAAAAATTGCTTGATCGTATCCAAAACAGAACATGACCTAGATATTTTTATGATAAATGTGTATATTAAATTTCATTTCAGTATGTACAACCTCTGTGAAACAAATGAACGGAAATTGCAAATAATTGGAATTTTCCTAAGTCCAAGGGGCATAACTCTGTCAAAAATTGCTCGATCATACACAAAACAGAACTTGACCTAGATATTCTTATGATAAATCTGTATACCAAATTTCATTTCAGTATGTGCAACCTCTGCAAAGAAAACAAGAAGTCTGTGAGCCAATGCTCACTAGTAATACCCTCGCTCTGACGTGTATTGTGAATATACACTATAAGCATGGATAAACAGGAAGCTGACATCAGATTCATACAATAATAAATCCCACCATATGGCATGCCTAAACAAAGAGTGTGTTAAAATTTCAAGCATCAGCGATGAGTAGTAGCTAAGAAAACTGTGCCGAAAATTTGTTATGTATGGTATGGACAGACACACGGATAAACAGGAAGCTGACATCGGATTTGTATAAAAATGAATCCCACCAAATGGCATGCCTAAACAAAGAGTGTGTTAAAATATCAAGCATCTGCGATAAGTAGTTGTTGAGAAAACTGTGACGAAAATTTGTTATGTATGGTACAGACAGATGCACAGATAAACAGGAAGTTGACATCGGATTCATACAAAAATAAATCCCACTATATGGCATGCCTAAACAAAGAGTGTGTTAAAATTTCAAGCATCATCGATGAGTAGTAGCTGAGAAAACTGTGACAAAAATGTTATGTATGGTACGGACAGATGAAAAGATAAACAGGAAGTTGACATTGGATTCGTACAAAAATGAATCCCACCATATGGCATGCCTAAACAAAGAGTGTGTTAAAATTTCAAGCATCTGTGATGAGTAGTGGCTGAGAAAACAGTGATGAAAAATTTGTTACGGACAGACAGACAGACAGACACACAGACAGACACACAAGGGTAAAACAGTATACCCTCCTCTCCTTTGGAGCGGGGTATAATGAACGGAAACAGTTGGTAGACCAAAAGACCAACCGACCGACAGACAGCAGCAAAGCAATATGCCCTCCCTTCTTCAAAGGGGGGCATAAATATCTTGAATTGTTTATTTAAAACTGAGCTAAACACCAAATTAAGAAAAAGGAGGTCCAGGTCAAACAAAAGGTCAAGGTAAAAAAATGTTGATGCAGTTGAATAGCTCTCATCAATATCTATCAGCATATGAAGTTTGATAAAAATATCTTGAATATTTTCTTTGAAACTGAGCTCTGAACTGAGCTAACGCCAGGGTTAGAAACTCCCTAAAATTACAACTCGCAAATAATTGCGAGTACCAAGAAAGTGAACTCGCAATTTTATAAGACTACTCGCAATTTTCATATAAAGTTAAATTTATATAAATTAAATACATGTAACTTATGCATGTTAAGGAAAAAGTAACTACTGTTTAATACACAAAATACAACTACAGTGTGACTTTTATTTAAATTACTGATTTAAATCAAAAGCATTGTGTTCTTTCATATTATATAATTTTGCTACATTTTCAATGCAAAAAAAATCATCTCGCAAGTTTTTGCCAGTTACCTAATTTTTAACTTGCAATTTGGGAATTCTAACTAGTGTTTTGCGAGTTGTATATAGTGAATTTCGAACCCTGAAACGCAAAGCACGACGGAAGGACGGAAGGACAGAAGGATGGAAAACAGACATGACATACTCTACACTAGACAAAATTGCTAATGCACCACCTAAATAAATTAACATTTTTCTTTTCAAAACTTGTTCATGATGTTTTTGACATATAATTATGATACTTTAATAAAAAATGAGATATTTAAATGCTTTAACTGATAAATAACAACAATGTTTACTGAAGCATAACCACTTCATTGAAAAACTTAAAATCATAGCCATACATTTTTGGTGGAATAAATTTCTAATTTTTTCTTTGTGGTTGTGTTATTTATGTTTGTACTAATTAAAAACTCAGAAAAAAAGTTACACCGTATGCGACGTTTGACTGTAAAAGAGCATGCTAAGGCAGCCAGTATGGTGTCTGCAGGGGGTTCCTTTGAAGAAATTTGTGAAAAATTAAAAAAATTAAATGATTAGGAATTTCTCTGGTAAAAAATTGTTGAAAATGAATTAACAATCATAAAAATGTTTACAATAGATATCGAAGGCATTACGTGAGCACCACACAATAATTTCAAGATTGTTCCACAAAATAGGGGCAAACGGAAGTTGGGTGGATTTGGTAGGGACACCAAGGCACTAAATGACTACTTAGCAATATGATAGTCAATCAGGGTATATTATTTGATTTTTAAGTGGGAGGCTGTTCCCGTCGCAACGTCACGGACCACCATCGGTAATCACCAACTTCATATCTTGGCAAAAACGGTGCGCAGTGCACTTCGTGAAATTGGTTTTCGGACAACAAAGTCCTTTAAGGGTCTTGACATGACACCAAGACATTTGTCAATCCAACTGTTTTGGAAAAGATGGCATATTTTATATACTAGTATCAATCAGGAAAATGATAAATTCACAAATGAGAATAATAAGTGGTGCGTTAGCAATTTTGTCTAGTGTATATGCCCTGGCCATATTCATGGTTGGGCATAATTTTTTTTTAGTATGATGGACAGACAAGACAGTTACAATATGCCATAAATAAGTGCATCCCAACTAGTAAAACACCAAAAGTTGGGGACCACAATTCTTTCTTCGTACCCCCACCAGCACTACCAACTGGGCTGCAGCTTTTGCTGCTGGACAACTAATTAAGAAACATTGCTTGATTTGAACAAATCTGAAACAACACAGTATGATAAAGCTTTTAGCAAAGTTTTGTCCTTCTTGACCCAATGATCCTAGAGATTTTTTAAAATCACATCTATTTTGTAATTATCTGTCCTTGATAGGAGAGTTGGCCATTAATTTGAAGAAAATCAAATTCCTTTTGTCCAAGAATGCTTCATGCCAAATGTGTTTAAAATTGGCTCATTGTTTCTTGAGAAGAAATAGAACATGTAAAAGTTTATTGATAACACACAATAGACAGACATTTAGAAACTAGACACTCTTTGGTCAAAAATGCTAACCTGGTACTTGAGCTTTGGTTCAGATAAGCTAAAAATGCATAAAATTATCCATACCTCTGTAACATTTGAAACAAAGGCAGGATCCCCAAGGTCTGATCTTTGAGCGTACGCAAATTTAAAGGCTTCTATCATTCTGTGGTAAGCCGTAAGATGTGACTCTTTTGATTTTAGATCTTTAGCTGTCATGTTATAGCCTATAGTAGAAAAACATAAAAACACAACAAAATATATTGAAAAATTAGTTTACGAATGTGTTTATGAATGTGTATTATATAAAGTAATTGAATGTAATTGAAAAAGTAATTGAAATTACATGGTATTTTTTCAGTGTAATTAATTAAATTACAATTGCAAGTAATTGAAAAAATGTTCAATTACAAATTACTTCCAATTACTTCAAAATATGTAATTAATTACAGTCAATTACAATTACTTTTTTCAATTACCCCATCCCTGATCATAATAAACATAAATAAATCTTTAGAGTTGTCAGCTACCAGTATTTATCTGAATACTGTATTATAGAGTGATCAGCTATTCATTTGCATACTATATTATGGATATTCATTTGCCTGCAAAGAAAAAGAATACCTATGGATAATTAAGACTGCTATCATACGAAGATCTACGGGGGGAGCTGCATCCAAACCCTTCCTGTGATTTTTCAGATTTTAAGTTTTTATGTGTCAAAGTAACAAAAAATTATCTTAGACCCCCTTCCCCCACCATCACCACCTACCCAGGAAACAAAAACCCCTCATAATATGGTAGGGAGAACCAAGTATATGATGAAAATTGACAAAGGAAAGTGACTTGTCATCCCTCCCCCACTCCCACCCCCCTCTACACCCACACTCACACATGAAATAGGTTTTTCATTTTGGAATTTACCTTTCTTTCTATTTTTTCTTCTTTTTTTGGGGGGGGGGGGGCCTGCCAAAAAATTTCTGAATTTCTGATTCCAACATTTGTTTGAGTTGCTGTGCCTCCCCCCTTACTTAGAAAAAAATACCTAGATTCACTAACTTTGATAGAATAACATATATCATTAAGTGTGACAATCAAATAGAATATGATTCCTCAACCCTAAAAGTTAAAATGAATACAAATTGTTTATTTTATTCATACATGTTTGATTCAATGGTCCCCAATTGGAAGTGGTGGTTTGGGGGCTGTACGAGACACGGTTTAGAGTATAGAGGTCTTACCTACCATCTAATATACTAAGTATGAATGAGAGAACAGCTCCACTAGCTGGTGGTTTGGGGCTGTAGAGGACATGGTTTAGAGCTATAGAGATCTTCCCTACCATCTAATATACTAAGAATGAACGAGAGAACAGCTCCACTAGCTGGTGGTTTGGGGCTGTAGAGGACATGGTTTAGAGCTATAGAGATCTTACCTACCATCTAATATATTAAGAATGAATGAGAGAACAGCTCCACTAGCTGGTGGTTTGGGACTGTAGAGGACACTACCATCTCTCATTGTCACTTTCAATGGCTCTTCAAACTTGGCTTTATAATTTCTAAGATCATTCTCACTGATGTTTGATTCTAAAATACATTCAGTTGATTATGAAACTACATTGAACAGGGGGTCAAACATATTTTTACAAATCACTGAATAATTAGGAGAAAACAATAGAAGGGGGTGCATAAATAACACTTCAAACAACATGATCCTCTTCAAATTGAATTTGTTAATATGATGTTAAAGGGCAATTTCCAAGCAACAGACAGACAGTAGACTGATTTTTTGACAAGTTAACATAAATATATTTGTAAATTCAATCTCTTCAAAAGGATATTAACTATTTCATTTGCACACTATTCTTTTCAAGATACTTACTCTTTTCTTTGAGATCCTGCAGTATATCATAACCTAGACTTCCTTCTGTGACATTATAGAAAGCTTGTCCACCATTTTCTGCCAGATTCCTGTAGGTTTCTGCAAGTTTTGGAAATTTAATCAAGTCTCCCTCTTTCAACATTTTTCCAGTTTTAGGATCTGAGTAGTGTTTCCTAGAAAATGACCAATTTAGAATATATATTTTTCTACAAACTCACAAGACTAAGCTCAGGTACAAAACTGAAAGGGTGACATCCCCACAGTGGAGATGTAGAGTACCATGTGTCTTTATCCAGCCTGAGAATATGCTCTTTGGGCTCCATCTTTTCTGCCAAATGTTTGGAGATTTGGAATCCATTTTTTGCTAAGTCAATACTTTTCTCAAACAAGTCTTTCCAAGGTAGTTTTCCCCATCTTTTCCATGCCTCCATGTACCCCATAACTTCTCCTGGAACAGCTATACTAGGTCCACCTACATCAAAATTGTGAACAAAAACTGATTTTCATTTCATTTACAAAAATGTGAAGCATTCCTTCACAACATAATTTCAAGCACTCATTTTGTTCAATACAAAATTACTTAGGGACTGACAACTTTATCAATTCCTATTATTGCCTTTAACCTTGAGATCTGACCTTTTCACCTCTACCCTTCACATGTTTATACCTATGATACTTTGTTTTTAGGGCAATTTCATTTCATTTTATTGTCAAATTCTATCATAACTGACCTTGATCATTCAAATGTTGTGCCATAAATTTACAGGCATCTTCCAAAGGCAGCCTTTCTCAAAGAAACCCAACTTACTTGAATGTGGTAATCCATGATATATTTAAAATATGAAAGAATTTGTAAACTATGGGTCATCACAATCAAATGGTCTGGATGACTATGGATTCTCTATATACATATTGAGACCATAAGGTGCAATCATTTCCACAAACCTATTGATACCTTTGACCTTCTGAAGATAAATTATGTGGGGTTTTTTCCCTAACCATCCTGTATTTAGCACAGATTTTAATTAGCGCTCTCTGAATGTGCTTTATAGGAATGTGTAAACAAGACATTTAGCGATGTACTTGATTTAGCGGAAGATGCTTTCCGTGAAAGATGCTAAATAGAATACACAGCCAAATGTAATACATTTACAGTATATTGTGGACCTCATGGATATCATGTATTATGTTTATAACGAAGCAAAGTCGTCTGTCCATGGCACTTCATTATAAGTGTGTTTTACTGTACCAGTATTTTTTTTTTTTTTCAACATACCATATTCTGATGAATTGCGAAGATCCTCATACATAGTTTCAAAGGAACTCAAAGGTGCAGATTCTCTTGCATTAATTACTGAGGCATTTCCCCTTTTACTAAAAAATACAAGAATTTTAATGTAGCTGTTTTATACATGACTTATAATACTCAACTGGGTATAATTGTAAGTTTCTCAACATATTATCAACTTAGGTCCATCTCGGACTTAAGTGGCATGAATCTAAGTTTTGACAGAAAGCTCTCTATCACAATACATACAAGTTGTCAGCTAGATGCCCTGGATTAAAGAAGATTTCAAAAGATATAATGCATTTTCAAGAACTACCCTGGGGCCTGAATCTCTGACCTTGGGGACAGGAATGGTATAATTTTGGTGGATATCATAGTGCATTATCATCAATAGTTTGACAACTCTCATGTAAAAGCTACATTCCTTGATATATATAACTTTTACCTACTCACATGGGAACTGTGTTTGGGGGGGGGGGGATTAAGTCATACTTTGGTTACGAAGTAAAAGATAATTTTTCAAGAAATAACATTATTCAGTGAACATGGCGCTAGCGCATCATGGAAAATATGCCAGCAGAGCTACTGCTATTCATAATGCCATGTTTACTGAATAATCATTGTTTATTACTTATATTCGCATTCTGTGATGCCAAGAATATCAGAGGAAATCCTGGCCTGCATAAGGGCACGGGTGCTGTCTCCAGTGAAGAAAAACATGACAATAAAATTAGTAAACCTGATTAATAATAATTTATCCACTTTATCTCCACTTAATCACATACAATATATATGGTATTTGCTTATTGACCACAGTTATCTGGATACAAACCGTGCCGTCTTCAAATTCTTAATTTTTTGTTTTGATGCTGTTGTGATGCACCATCACGTCATAGTCATCGAAACTCTCTGAGAAAAATTATTAATAATAATATTATGAAAAAAAGAGTGTTTTTTACATTGATTTTAACTTAAGAATATTTTTATTATGTTTCCATAAGTTCTTAAAATTCTTTTTAAGATTTAAAATCGTTCTTGAAGTAGATACACTATTACAGAAATTTCGCTTTGTTTGAATGTAAAAACACCCTAGCGTGAAGAGTTATCATTCTTTGCAACAATATGAGTATACATGAACAAATAAATTTAAAATATAGAGCTCTGTTTCATTTGTAGAAAGTTTTATTTTACAATTGAACACGTTGACTAAAATTATTATTTTTTGAAAATTGAAAACACCTCAATCAGTAATCTTAATCATTTTAAATTTCTTTTTCCCCGGAGGATTCCATTAAAAACTTAATTTTACTGCTTTTGCACAACATCCCATATATATACTTCTGAATGTGTTCTATAAGTGTAGTAGCTTGTACTGCGCCAGTGTAAGAAACGAAATGCACCTATAGCAGAAAACTGGTATTACTTATCATTCACCATCATATAGACCCCCCAAACAACAACAATGATGAAAACTGATATATACCTATCATAGACTGCCATATAGACCCCCATTACAACAACAATGATAACTGATATATACCTATCATACACCATCATATAGACCCCCAAACAACAATGAAAACTGATATATACCTATCACAGACTGTCATAAAGACCCCCAAACAACAACAATGATGAAAACTGATATATACCTATCATAGACTGCCATATAGACCCCCATTACAACAACAATGATAACTGATATATACCTATCATACACCATCATATAGACCCCCAAACAACAATGAAAACTGATATATACCTATCACAGACTGTCATAAAGACCCCCAAACAACAACAATGATGAAAACTGATATATACCTATCATAGACTGCCATAGAGATCCCCATTACAACAACAATGATAACTGATATATACCTAGCATACACTATCATATAGACCCCCAAACAATAATGAAAACTGATATATACCTATCATAGACTGTCATATACACGCACAAACAACAACAATGATAACTGATATATACCTATCATACACCATCATATACACCCCCAAACAACAACAATGATGAAAACTGACATATACCTATCATAGACTGTCATATAGACCCCCAAACAACAACAATGATGATGAAATGTGATATCTACCTATCATAGACTGTCATAAAGAATCCTCCTCCTATTCCGCTGCTCACAGGATTAACCACACCGTAGCACAACAAAATAGCAATGGCTGCATCTACTGAGGAACCATTATTCAGCAAAATTTCCCTAGAAAAATGTAGAAACACAAACAGAGAATATAATAAATTTCTTAACCCTGTACATCTTAATACATGTAATTATACTTAGTATCCTTTTAGGCAGTTTAATTACCAGTATGATTTTTGTGATCTAGTTTATGACTTATATTCAACTATTTTAAAAATGCAACTGAAAAGATTTTATAAAAAAGAAAATGTTAGATTTTCACAGTTTATTACAGTAAATTATTTATCTAAATTATACCATGTTGTACATACTTGCCAATATCTGAACACACTTTGCTATCTGATGCTATGGCAGCTTTCTTAAATTTCCCAAGTTTAGTCCCAGAACTTGGAAAATCCGACTTGCTGCTTTTGTTGTCATGAAGAAGAATGATGACAATTATGGCTGCTATGGTGATGACTGCTATCAGGAGGATTAGCAGGCAACATGCTCTCTTGCTTCTCCTATAAAGTTATAACACAGGCAAAATATCACTACACTATACAGTATACAGTAAAAGTAGGTCACAGTGACCTACTTTTGGGTTGACGTATCTAAGGTCCATAGATACATCAACTTACAAGATTTGATGATCCTAAGGTTCATAAAATAAAGACAAGGTTTGATAATCATAGGGCTCCTAGTATCAAAGATATAAAGATTTGACAAAAATAAACCAATAAGTAGGTAACATTTAGTCTTTGGCTCAGAAGAGGCATATGGGCTACAATACTCACCTGAATCACTTTGGCCCTGCTATTCTGCATCAGATTTTTTCCCTAATATACATGTATTCCTTTGTATTTCTGATTGCCTTTTGCATCCCCACTCTACATACTGGGGTCTTTATTTGAACAATATCAATCTACACTATCTGTGGATGCTTCCTCATTAATATGATTCATGTTATTGAGATGAAAAGTTTTAAAGATTTTTCTCATTTTGTGGCCCACCATACCCCTGAGGACTGTGATCTGAACAATTCATAATCTACACTACCTAAGGAAGCTTTCTTCTAAGTTTCATCTTCTCTACTCCAGTGGTTCTTGAGAAGAAGATTTTTAAAGGTTTTTCCTACATATTTCAATGTAAAGCCTTGATTCCCTATTATGGCCCCTCTCATGCCTGGGGACCATGATGTGAAAAATTTACAGTCTACACTAACTCAGGAAGCTTTTTTCTTAATTTCACCTTTTCTGGTCCAGTGATTCTTGAGAAGAAGATTTTTCTTAATATATATTTCATTGTAAAACTTTGATTCCCTATCGTTCCCCATCCTACCCCTGGTTGCCATGATTTGAACAATTCAGAATACACACTTCTTCAGGAAGCATCCACATAAGTTCCATTTTTTCTGGCCCAGTGGTTCTTCAGTCTCAGAAGAACTTTTTTGATGACCCACCCTATTTTTGCCCTTCTTGATTATCCCCCTCCCCTTGGAAGGGGGTCTGGTCCTTTATTTTAACAATTATATGAAATCCCCTTTAACCAGGGATGATTTGTATCAACTTTGAATAAAATTGGTCCAGTGGTTCTTCCAAAGAAGTTGAAAATGTGAAAAGTTTACAGACAGAGTAAATATGTACATGTATTGCTGCACAGGGGTGGGGAGAGGAGGGGGTGGGGTGGGGGTTTGTCAGCAAGGAACTTTTGCTTGGTAGTGACCACTCAAACAGAACATGTTTGGTTGTGCCCCTCCCTCCCAACCCCCCCCCCCCCACCCCCCCAAAATGAAATTGCTTTCTATGGCCTGTCAGGGCTGTTGATATGCAACTCTAACAGAAACACTTAATATACAAAGTCTGAACTGGCAGGGTTTAAAACAATTAGTAATTCAGTTACTGGTCAGCTCTAGACACTAATCTAGATTCTCATCAAAAAAATAATAGCTTCAGAAATAAAATTGGTACCATGTTATTCCACATGCATCACCTAATTTGAATACACAGAGCTTCAATTTCATGGCAATGGAGAGGCTCTACCTGGATTCTGACAGCAATGCCAATATGAGCTAATTACCGTATAAAGAAATAAAATAGTAGAATTGCAGTTTTCAAAATTCCATCTTTAAGACACAACTTGTACCTACCTTAACTTCCTGCGTCTAAAGTACTGTTGTTCCAAGTCTTTGTCATCATAGCTAATAAACTCATCATCCCCATGTAGAAGGGGGGAGTATTGATGGCTGTCACCTCTTCCTGACATTATCTGTGATCAAAACAAAAAGATATCTATTGGCTACAACGTTCGTCTAAATCATAATTCTGTTACTAGTGATAGTTATACAATATGCAATATAAATGAATTTAGAATTGTGAACCTTGATAAAATTTCACATTGTATACTTTCTATTGAAAGTATAGCTCTTGAAAAATTACCTCCAATTCAAAACAACAAATTTGTGTACAGTGATAAACCTAATAAAGAGACAGATAGAGGGCAAACTTTGATAAACACATGATAAATGCTACACTGAAATTGTTTTCTTTTTTAAATTTTAAATGTATACATTGTCTCCATGTATAGACACAAAAAGATTCCAAAAAGTCAAGAATTGAACAAGTTATTGTCTTTGACATAGTGCTGTTACCTATCAGTTACAGATACAAAGAGATCATGTTTATTATTGTCAGCATATGAGCACAAGGGTACATTTCATATATTTTCACTTCTGTACATATCTTTATACCCCTGGTATATATATATTACCAAGTAAAATGTCATTTATGATTTGTTATATTAATTCTATAATTTTGTTACACGTATCTCTTTCTTTTCTTCCTTTATCAGTTTATTAGGTCTGGTACAATCACTAGATTTAGCTATGTAGCTTGAATTGCCTACATATTAGCTTTATTTACCCATCTGAAGTAGCTTTATTTAGCTACTAAATTATACCTTTTTCTTATTTTAGATTAGAATTTTTTCAGAATGAGCAGAAAATGCAGTGATGCAGTGATAAATTTCAATTTTGAACTGATCAAAAAACAATTCATGAGAAAATCACTCTTGAAGGTGTGTCTCTTTCAAGGCAATTGCAATCAAAGCTCTAAAAAGTTTTGGGGCTATATACAACAGTAAATTGTGACCATACAGTTACTTGTTGAATGAAATATCAAAGAAGGCCAGTTCAGGTTAACATGATATTGATTGGTCATAATTTAACACAATCTATTTGATTTATGTGAAGTAATCATACTTATCCGTGCCTCACTGCACACAAGGTTGTGTATAGATACTCAAACTTTTGCTTTGAAATGTTCAAAAGCAGCAATGTTTAAACAATCTTTGCCTTGAATTGCATTTTTAGAACTGTCTAGGATGACTATTAGTAGTCATATACTTGTGATTTTTTGTCTATTTAAATAAAATAAAGCAAAATTGTGAAAAGTTGCACTGAAACAGCTATATAAAGCTACTTCAAGTAGCTAAATAAAGCTACGGTAGGTAATTCAAGCTACAAATATAATAGACAGTAGAGTAAGGAACAACAGCAAAGCAGTGTAAATACCAAACACAAAAACAGACCAATACAAGAATTCTTTCTTTGTGCGCACTGCAATAGACTGGAACCACCTGGAAGAGGAAGTTGTCTGCGCCCCAAAGCTAGAGAGCTTCAAGTCTGCGTTACAACAACGCCGTGACTAAATGCATACCCCCCCCCACCCCGTCACATTAAAGCCCAAGAGGATTCTGTGATGTACAGCCTACACAGATACAGATAGCTAAATCCAGTGATTGTACCAGACCTATTTATCACAGGCGTTTGTTTCATACAGTACACTAGTTTTCTACTATACAATTGTATAGTAGAAAACTACCGTACTGTATGAAACAAACGCCTGTGCTATTTATAGTATACTTTACACATTAAAGGTTACAACAAATATTTTAAGACATCTTATGACGCGAATATAAAGATGCAAAAGAAAAGGGATGAATACTGTATGTATGTTCAGACTTGTGTCGGCGAAAATAATGTCTAAAAAATATTGGCAGGATAATTACTTTCTTACTGGGCATTAATTTGTTTAAAAGATATTTTTTAACCGGGAGAAAGTCCATGATTACTTACATATTACAGTAAGTTGACATATGAAGGTGAGTTAACGCAAAGCTCTACTAAACCTCTAAATGAAAATGATCATCCTTCAAACCATAAGTTCCTCCAAACATTAAGTTTGAAATTTGGAACTTTGATTTTGCAACATGACTGTTTGTTTTCGTTTTGGGTGAAAATTTAGATAAGTCTTACTTAGACATTTTCGTAATATGTAGTTAACTCGTACGATCAGCGAAAACTAAAACAAGTTGAGATAAATTGAAAGTTATGACTGGAAACCATTTACGGAAGTGCCTAACTTTCTCAAGATATTGTTTTTTAAGACAGAACAGAACAAAGGTTCATTTAATTCCAATTACTAGGACTCTGGCAACGAAGAACCAAGAAGGCAAGTGTTCCGAATTTCCTCAGTAATACATATGTTTGACATAACATTGCCAAAGCAAAATAATTCTTTAATCGAATAAATGTACAGTAGCTTCAGAAATTTGTTTTTGTATTAAATCCGTATACATGTAGTTTGCATGATTTGTTTTAGGTGTAAAACAATGAGGTATAATGAAAATGTTATATTGATTTTGTTGATGAATATGTATCATCTGAAAAATAATGGTAAATTGAAATTTAGCAGGTAGGGCAAGGAAGGCATATTTTACTATCAAATCAAAACTGCCAAACAATCACAGCATCTCTCGAAAGATTCGGAACGACTTTACTTTACCGGTCCCCAGAAAAACGCGCTAAACTATAGTGTCGCCGTAGGCGACTTCAGTATATATGAGATCGCGTGAGCGATCGAAAAAAATTAAAAATATGAGGTTTTAAGCCTTTTTGACCCCAAAATCGAATTCTACGGTTAAAAGTTTAGTTTAAAACTTCGTTTTTAAATGAAGTTTTTAACCTCGTTCTCTGAAAAAAAGTAATAAATATTATTTATTCAGTGAAAAGGAGACAAAAAATAATTGTGAACGAAGCGCGTGTGGCGCATGCTTAGTGCCGTTTCTTTAGTACTTAGCCATTTTTTTCATGTAAACAAACCGACGAGATGTTGTTGAAGCTGAATAAAGATCTTGCAAAAAACACAGATGCAACTGAATATCTTAATAATCTAAAAGAACAAGACACTGACCCTAATCTCTTGGATGGTATGCGAGGACTAACCCACATCTCCAAGGCGGATGCTAAACCATGCTAGACTAACCCATGTGCGAGGACTAACCCTAATCTCTCGGATGGATGCCAGACTAACCCTAATCAGTCGAAAACTTGTGCAAGGACTAACCCTAATCTTTCAGGTGGGTGCAAGACTAACCCTAACCAGTCGAAAAATGTGCAAAACCAACCCTAATCAGTTGAGTGACGTAAATCTTACGTCATAGTGCAATGAGCGCGCGGATCTTGCGGATCTGGGGACCGGTAAAGTAAAGTCTACCCAAAGATTCAATTTAAGATTTATATGAATCATGCATTATACCAATTTTTAAATTACCGATAAATGGCTTGGTGTAAAATGCGTAGGATGGAGGCTTCACAATGGAGTTACAGAGTGCAAGGGGTGGAGACTCTAAAGTCAATTTAAACAGATTTGTCTAATTTATCTCTCATTCAGTTTAAGAGTTTAAGACCCTAAAACCTAATGAAATCTGTCAAGACTTCATAGATTACTGTGAGATAGCAGACTGCGGGACATAAATCTTACCAAAGTTGAGGTATTTCTGTTGCACTCAGCATCTGTTATTTAAATTTAAATGAAAAGCAGAAGCTCTAAGCCCCCTTTTTGTTTTTGATATCTAAAAGTCTTTTTTGGCGGAATCTCATTTTGTTGTTTCTCAATCATTTCTCATACTTTGAGAAAAAAAAGCAACTGTATGCACCAAAGGATAATTTTGATGCTGTTTCTTTTTCATTCAGTCTCTGTCATCTTAAAAAATTTAAATCAAGAGCTTAGTCGTTCCCCTTGTTGACATGTGAAGGTCATTAAATGTTTCTCATTAACATGTTCCATAAGATATTGCCATTCATTCTTTCTTTATTTCCTCCAAAACAGAGATTCAAAATCAGCATTACAATGTACATCAAACATATTTACAACATTATAGTAGATAATAAATTAGAAAAAAAATAATGATAACAGTTATAAATAAATAAATGAAAAAATGAATAAACAAGATTTGCATGAACAAAATAAATGAAAAAATAAATAAATAAAGAGATTTACATGAACAAAAGTTACGCAGAAGTGAACCAGAAGTCTCTGACCCATCCTTGCAAGCCAGGGGTCCTGAGTCAATATGTTGCCATGGGACCCCTGGCATATTTCATTCAATATTCGTGGGCTTGCTTCTCTCATTGAGAAGCACCAATCAAATTAAAGCTTTCATAAATAGTTAGATAAGGATTCAGTTGACACCTCAAATGCACGTGTTACAAATTGTTTATCATAGAATGGCTTATAAATAATGTGATTGGTTGAGAGATAAGAAAAACAATCAAGATTTGTAATTTTTCCGAAAGACGTCGCTACAGTCAGCACACAAATATTGAATGAAATATGCCAGGGGTCCAATGGCAACGTGTTGACTCAGGACCCCTGGCTCGCGAGGAGTCTCTGACCAGACTGTAGGCTGTAGCTCTACTGGTTTACTTATAAAAGAAGATAAAAAGAGCACTTGGACTTGAAACTTTGCAACAGCAATACATAGAATAATGATCCTTGGTTTAATCTTTTTGTAGCAAGATTTATTGCATTCAGACTAAAACTGTAGGAGGAGTGGCCCTTCAAAGCAATTTTACAGAAATTTCAATTTAAGTAACCATTGCACTGTACTAGCGATTGTACTAGTAAGACTACAAGTGAACTGTAGTAGTTAACAGTACTAGTGATTTGTACTAAGAACTCTTACTTAGAAGCTGTGCTGACAATTTGTTTTAACTGTTCATCTACATGACGTCTATTGTACAACTGTGACTTAATAAATATATCTATATAACCGTGTCCAAGTCGTTGTGTTATACATTGCAACATCACTCAACAAAATCAAAAACAACTAGTTATAATTGTAACGGGGACCGTTACAGATGTTCCCCAAACGCTCCCCAACTCCCTTTTGGTGACTTTTTTCCTGTAAGCTTCATTAAATAAGGCAATGAAGTATATTGGTCATTTTTTGCATTTCACGCGCGCACACGTGCATGCATGTGCAGGATGACCATGTCATCCTGTCTATACTATATATGCATCTTTATATTCTCAGTATCAAAACATTTCATCAAAAAATATATAAGTTCCGGCTAAATCAAGCATATTGGTCATCTTAGCATTGCGCACACGCGCACATGCATGTATGTTCATAATGACCATGCCATTTTGTGTACACTTATAATATGTCTGTTAATTCATAGTATCAAAGCTTTTCATCAAAAAATATAAAAGTTACGGCTATATTAAGCATATTGGTCATTTAACACATTGCACGCGCGCGCACGTGCATGCATATGCATGCATGTGCATGATGACCATGTCATCTTGTCTACTCTTTCTATATATATAAATATTTTGAGTATCAAAGCATTTCATCAAAAAGTATAAAAGTTACGATATTATCAAGTAAATTGGTCATTTTACGCTTTGCGCGTGCGCGCACGCGCATGCATGTGCATGTTGACCATGTCATCTTGTTCACACTTTTAATATATCCTTATATTCTGAGTATCAAAGCATTTCACCAAAAAATATAAAAATTACAGCTATATCAAGTATATTGGTCATTTTACCCATTGCACGCGCACGCACGTGCATGCACGTGCGCGCAAAATGACCTTTGTTCCGCAAATCTACATAACATGCCTATTAACCCTAAAAAGGTTTTAACTCAATTGGATGAGCAGTTTCCGAGAACACTCGCGGACAAAAAAGTACCGGAGAAGAAATAAGAAGAAAAAAGAACAATAACTAGTATTAATTGTAACGGGGACCGTTACAGATGTTCCCCAAACGCTCCCCAACTTCCTTTTGGTGTCTTATTCCCTGTAAGCTTCATTAAATAAGGCAATCAAGTATATTGGGCTTTTTTTTACGCATTACACTCGCACGCACGGGCATGCATGTACAAAATGACCATGTCAACTTGTCTACACTTTTAATACATCTTTATATTCAAATTTCATTAAAAGATAAAAAAAATTCGGCTATATTAAGTATATCTATCATGTCCATGATGATCGTGTCATCTTGTCAACACTATTAATATATCTATATATTTCGGATATCAAATCATTTCATGAAAAAGTATGAAAGTTACAGCTATATCAAGTATATTGGTCATTTTAGCATTGCATGCGCGCGCACGTGCATGCATATGCATGTTGACAATGTTGTCTTGTCTACATTTATAATATGTCTATATATTCTGAGTATCAAAGCATTACATCAAAAAATGTAAAAGTTCTGGCTATATCAAGTATATTGGTCATTTTACTCATTGCACGCGCACGCACGTGCATGCAAATGCATGCATGTGCGCATTGATCATGTCATCTTGTCTATACTTCTAATATATATTTATATTCTGAGTTTCAAAGCAATTCATCAAAAAATATACAAGTTAAGTCTATATCATTTGTATAGGTTATTGTAATCATTGCGCATGCGCACACGTGCATGAATGTGCATTCTGACCATGTCATCTTGTCTACACTATTAATATATCCTGATATCTTGAGTATCAAAGCATTTCATCAAAAGATATGAAAGTTATGGCTATATCAAGTATATTTCTCATTTTACTTATTGCACGCGCACGCACGTGCATGCATGTGTGCGCTGATCAAGTCTTCTTGTATACACTTCTAATATATATTTATATTCTGAGTTTCAAAGCAATTCATCAAAAAATGTACAAGTAAAGTCTATATCAATTGTATTGGTTATTTCAATCAATGCGCATGCGCGCACGTGCATGCATGTGCATTCTGACCATGTCATCTTGTCTACACTATTAATATATCCTTATATTCTGAGTATCAAAGTATTTCATCAAAAGATATGAAAGTTATGGCTATATCAAGTATATTTCTCATTTTACTCATTGCACGCGCACGCACGTGCATGCACGTGCGGGCAAAATGACCTTCGTTCCGCAAATCTACATAACATTCCTATTAACCCTAAAAAGGTTTCAACTCAATCGGATGTATAGTTTCGGAGATCACTCACAGACAAAAAAGTACCCAGGAAGAAAAATAATAATAACTAGAAACTCATTGCGAGCAATGAGAGGTCTTCCGTCCGATTCTGAAAATAAAAACAAAAATTCAAGCTGAAAAAGAGATAAAAGAAATTCAGACACTCTGTAAATTTAACCCTTGTCGTCAGCGTGAAAATCCAAC